GCTTTATAGTGTGAAGTCAGGAAGTTGTAATACTCCCAGTTTTGTTCTTTCCCAGGAGTGCGCTGGCTATTCAGGATCTTTTGAAGTTCCATATGAATTTTAGGATGATTTGCTCTAGTTCATTGAAAAATGCCATTGGTTATTTGATAAGGATTATACTTATCTGTAAGTTGATTTGGGCAGGATGGCCATTTGACAATATTGATTCTTTCTATCCATGAGCACAGAATAGATTTCCATTTATATGTGACTTCTTCAATTTTTTTCATCAGTGTCTTACAGTTCTCAGAGTATAGGTCTTTTGCCTTCTTGGTTAGGTCTATTCCTAGGTATTTTATTCTTTTTTATGCAATTGTAAATGGAATTGTTTCCTCAATTTCTGATAGTTTGTTGTTAGTACATAGAAATGCAGCAGATTTCTGTGTATAATTTTGTATCCTGCAACTTTTCTGAATCCAGTTTTTAGTTCTTTAGTTTTTTGGTGGAGTCTTTAGGGATTTCTATTTATAATATCATGTCATCTGCAAATAGTGAGTTTAACTTCTTCCTTACCAGTTTGGATGCCTTTTCTCTTTTTTCTTACCTGACGGCTGTGGCCGTCCAGTACTTTGTTGAATAAAAGTGGTAAAAGTGGGCATCTTTTCTTGTTTCTGATCTTAGAGGAATATCTTTCTTGCCATTGAGTATAATGTTAGCTGTGAGTTTGTCATATACAGCCTTTATTATGTTGAGGTATGTGCCCCATACCGATTTTGTTGAGAGTTTTTATCATGAATTGATGTCGAATTTTGTCAAATACTTTTTCAGCATCTATTGAGATGGTTTTTATCCTTCTTTTTGTTACAGTGGTGTATCACATTAATAGATTTACAAATGTTGTACCATCCTTGCATCCCTGTAATAAATCCCATGTGGTGGTGATAGAGAATCCTTTTGTTGTATTTTTTAATGCATTTGCTAACATTTAAGTTGAAGGCTGCTCTATTTCAAACATAATCTAATGGTACTACTTTTTTACTCTTCTTCCTCCTCCACACTTTATGTGTAAGATGTCATAATCTATATCTTCTGTGTATTCCTTGACTGACTTTTTGTGTATAGTTGATTTTACTGCTTTTGTTTTTTTTTAAACTTCATACTTGCTTAGTAAGTAATTGGCCTACTACCGTTACTGCAGATTTATTTTAAATGATGAAGAATATTTAGGCTTAAGAACATTTCCATCTACAGAAGTTCCTTTAACATATCCTGTAAGGCCAGTTTAGTTGTGGTGAATTGTTTAAACCTTTGTTTATCAGGTAAACTTTTAATTGCCCTGGCACAGGTCACGCTACTCATGCTGTTTGACAAGGTCCAGGCACTAGAAGGAATCCTGGAAGTCAGGAAACCTCACAGCTGGCCCTTGCTAGTCCCTGTATTTGTTTTTGCAGTTACGATGCTGATAATTGGATTCATGTAGGGGAAAATTTTCATGACAAATATTTTGAGTAACAATCTGACCCTTATAGAGGAGAATAATCTGACCCAAAGCTATAATCAAAATAATAGTACCAGGAACGAAAGCAGTGCCCCAGGACCTACCATCCCAGACATGCTGCCACAAGCAATTACACTAGAACAACCTGAAATACTCATGGAATTAGATAAGGCCTGTCTCCCCTTTTGCAATAATACAAACATGACTAATGAAGAGTTCTTTACTGGATTGGCTAAGAAAGAATTATGGGAACCTGGGCCATGGAAAATCCCATTTTTATTAGGAAGTTATATTATATGAAACAGCAAAGCGAAATCAAAAAAGATCCAATAATCTCCACGGTTCAGGGGCCTCCCCATGTTGTTTATAAAATAAGGGGATGCCTCTGGTATCCACCCAGGGGAAAGAAGTCTATGGGTAAAATAGAAAGATAGACATTTACAGATATCCCTTACACAGGAATTTATGATGAAAACATGATAAAATACTATTACATCAATGGCAAAGTAGTACATGCAGACTGTGTGTCACTACATGAGAGGATAAAAAGAGCTAGGAAACCATACTGCCTATGGACGCGAGAGGAAAGATGCAAGGAGTTAAAAATGTGGAATGATTATTATGATAGAATAAAATGTTTATACTGTATATGGAAATTAGATCCAGATTGTGAGGGCCTATACCTTAAAATAGGATGGGGATGGATAACTTTTGGGTGTAAACGCAAGTGGCAGACAATGAGTATAAGATGGTATTAGCTTAGAAAAGAATCTTATATCCTGAGTATCTTATAACCTTAGATTCTAAATATGAACTATATAAGTAAACTTTATATATAACCTCACACGCTTAAAAGCAAAAGCAGACATTATAAACCATATGCTGTCACATGCCATTTTCCTGTCTAGCACCTAGCATGTAACCTACATCTCTGGCCAAAAGGTTAGGGGAAAGTTAAAGATTAAACATTACAAGGAAGCTGTTCAAAGAAATGATAACATCTGTAATGAGCCAGAATTATACAAAAACTGAAGGGAAAAAACATTGTATCATCCATGATCAAAGAAAATGTTTAAAATTATGTAAAACATAAAAGATATAAAAATAAACACCCTGCCACTTGATGTCAGGAGATACTTCATGCTGACTCTGAATCTCGTCTCCTCATTCACCGACGCTGTCCTTTCCTTTGTGGTTCCCACCCTGGTTGGAGCTGGACTCCAGCATTGCCCCTTCAATTCTGATTGATAACCTTACTGGGTAGGGGATTGTTGGTTGTAGGTTCTTTCCTTTCAATATATTAAGTATTTCATGCCACTCCCTTCTGGCCTGTAAAGTTTCTGCTAAGAAATCTGCTGATAGCCTTATGGAGTTTCCCTTACAAGTAATTCTTTGCCTCTCTCTAGCTGCTTCAATACCCACTCTTTATCTTAATCTTTGTTATTTTAATTATTTAATGTCTTGGTGTTATCTTCCTGGGGTTCCTTTTGTTAGGGACTCTCTGAGCTTCCAGAGACCTGGAATGAACCTGGGTCTCTATTTGCTTCCCCAGATTGGGGAAGTTTTCAGCTATTACTTCATCAAAGAGACTTTCTACTTCTTTGTCTCTCTCTTCTCCTTTTAGGACCCCTACTATGCAAATATTATTTCATTTGGGGTTACCACACAGCTCTCTTCGCATCTTCTCATTTTTAGAAATTGTTCTCTCTCTTCCTCAGCTTGGTTACTTTCCTGATCTTTAACTTCCATCACACTGATTCTCTCCCCTACTTCCAGCAGTCTACTATGCATTCAATCAATGGTATTTTTCATTTTTGTTATTGTGTTGTTCAGCTGAGTGGCTCTTTCTCAAATTTTCTCTTTGTTGAAGTTCTCACTTAATTGAGATCATCAATTCTTCTCCCCAGGTCAGTGAGCATCTTTATGACTGTTACTTTGAAATCTTTTTCAAGAATATTAGTGATCTACATTTCATTTAATCCTTCTTCTAATGTCTTACTGATTCTTCTTTTGGAATATATTCCTCTGCTTTATTTTTCTGGATTTCTATGTTTCTTCCTTTGTATTATATAGAAAGTAACGGCTTTATGAAGTAGGCATCCTGTGGTATCCAGAAGCTCAAAACTCTGCTACCAATGTCTGTTTCTCCTCTGTGGTAGAGCTGCAGCTGGTGTTGGTGCACTGTGGGTGGGACCATCTTTCTGCCTATATGCTGGTGGTGGCTGATCTCTGTTAGCAGAGGCTGACAGCTCACCTGTGTGTGCCGTTTGTGTGTCATGAGATACTTCTGCTGGGATTCGCTGTTGGTGGGGCCACCTTCTGCATGCTGTTCAGCAATGGCAGCTGCTGCTGGGCCAGGCAGGCTGGGGGTGCTGGTGTGCAGGGGAGCAGTCAAGGGCCTGAGCCACTGGTGAGGGAGCTGGAGAATTTATAGAGCTGGCTCCTGCAAATGCCCCAGTAGTTGGGCTGAAGAAGGGCCAAGAAAGTCTGGAAAATATCTTCCTTCCACCTGCCAGTCAGGAAAAGCAGACAGCTGCTGGGTCCAGTGGGCCAGGCAGGTGCACAGGTAAGCACTGCCATGGGGCTAGGTGCCAGCAAGGGAGATGGGATCATTTGGAGCTGGCTCCCATGAGTGCCCAACCAGTGGAGATGATGGAGGTCTGGGGAAGTGTCATCCACCTGTCCTTTCTCCTCCAGAGAGAGTTCTCTCTGACTCTGTCCCCTCTGGCACACTTCTTACTACTGCTAAATCTTTCAAACTGCCACCTCTGTGCTGTGTCTCAGTGGGACCACCAGAGCATTTCAGTCTTCCACAAGTGGCAGGAGTCTCAGCCTCCCACAGCATTCCATTTCTTCCTTGTGTCCAGCCCTGCTATCACCAAAGCCTGATGCAATGTAGACTTGCGTTCCCAGAGCAGATCTCCAGGGCCAGTAGGCAGGATTCCTGAGTGCCTATTCCCTCCATGCTCTGTTCTTCTCCCTTCTGCGTATGGGATGGAATGGGAAAAGGGCTTCGGTCCTGACTGATCACAGCTCTGTCACTTTACCATTCTCAAGGTGGTCATCTCTGCTTCAGCAGGTATAGACGGTCTGTTCTGCAGTCTTCAGGTAATTTTTAGGGTTAGTTATATTTGCTGTAGGTGCTTCTTTGGTTATGTACATTGAAGGAGGTTTCTGCATTGCCTTCTTACTCCACCATCATTTTTATAGTCCTCATTTTCTTTAGAAGGGAGTGAAAGCTCCTAAAAGTCTCCTCTTCCCCTATCATTCCTGAAAAGGGCCCGTATTTGTACCTTTCATGAGTATTTTCAGTTTTCTGCCATTTTAGAATGCCACCATTGATAACAAGTCAAGTCATAGAATTCAAGATACAGCTGTCCTTTTAAATTTTTGTAAAGGCATAAAGATTAGGTATCAGATAAACATATTCCTTAAATATATTCACAGAAATACAGTATGATATACTTGAGACTGCTGGTCTAAAAATCATCTTGTTCAACATAAAAAATAGAACATAACTTACTAAATCAGTTTCTTTTTTTCTTCTTTTCTTTCTTTCTGTTTTTGGCACCTGGTGGGAGAGAAATACAGAAATTGTGATAAAGACTAACATAATTTTTTCTTTGCAAATACTGAGATTTTGCTCAACAGGTAGTAGAGTAAGCAGGTCTTTATTCTTCAAGAGGAAATATGAAGTGCTAGTAAGCAAATGTGAGAAAATTTTAAGTTTAGTAAAACACAGCGCCACAAAAGCAACAGAACAGAAAGATAATTTAGAGATTGTCTTTTTAAACCTCAGTTTCATCCAGAAGCCATGCCATATTAATGTAAATGATTATTTTAATTATTAATTAAATCATTATTAATTTTAAAGGTTGCACTTTACATATTTTGGCTTTAAAAAATACTCCATCCCAGAGCTAAATATAAAGATTATCATTTGGGACATGGAAAAGCTCTTTTACATACAACATTTCCTAACAGCCACAGTATAGAACAGTCCAAACCTAACCTTTTGAAGTTATAAACAAAGGCAGTATAAAGAATCTTATGCATAATATAAAAACCTTAGATCTATAGAATACAGATCTAGAACAGAAGACCTTTCAAGGATTTAATTAAGTTTGACTACTTCAAAAATTATTTAGAAGGTTAATAAATCTAAACACATATAAACCAGAATAACTGAAAATAAAAAGGGACTTAATGAAAAAAGTATTAATTAATTAGTAGTATCATGATACCTAATAATTTCATGCATAGTATTTCAAATGGGGTACTGAAAGTAAACATATTGATATCTAATCCTGCTGTCTCTTCTGTAGTATGGATTATATAAAAGTTATTTAATAAGGCTGAAGCAAGAATTAAATATCAAATACCTAGTACAATTCCTAGCACTCAATAAATAAAGGTTATTATTACTATCATATAAATTTCCAGAAACATATTTTCCTAAAACCTAACTCACAGAGAAATACAATTGTAGGTCATTATATGAAGGCCTATAGATGATACAATGAATCACATCTGTAATTGCTGGTTTTCAAAAGGAAATTCATGCACCGACCTCTACCAAAGCAACTGCACAGGTTTAGATAATATGTCTAATGAATAATATGACAGAATGGAGCTGTTGGGTCTAAAGTACTGCTAAGTTGACTTGTTCCTATAATGTTTTTCTCAAATACCAGATGTTCCAAATAGACTCTTAAGAAGAATTCATAATTGAATTCTTTTAGAAATCAAAGGAGATCATATTACCTTTATGGGTATACAATCCAAAGTCTTGAATTCATTCATGTATTCATCTAAAAACACTTTAAAAGTGTTGACCCAAACTCTTACTGGAGATTCACTCCAATCACGCTGCTCAAGTCTCATGGTCTTTTCCAGGATCTGTTCAAATAGCGCGTAGAGGTCTTTATATCGTATGCTCTTCCCATCATCTATCTAATAAGCAGTAAGAGAAGAAATGTATGGTTTTATAAAGAGATTCTCTAAATAAAGAAGATTTATATATTTATATTTACACTTATATGTAAATATAGCAGACAAATATACTCAATTTGTATAGATAGTATTTAAAATAAAAATTAGGATCCTGAAATACTTTGGAATGGGCATGCTAATGAGGTCATGTGGTATTTGTAAACTCCCACTCTACTGTGGAATAACTACAGAATAAAACCTGACAAATTTTAGTAAAATACCTAAAAGGCTAAACAATATAATAATTTGAGAAAGTTCTGAGAATCTCTCCAATAAATCTGGCTTTTTAACTATAATTAGCAGTAAAGACTATTTACATCACATCCCTTTTAACGAATTATCTACCTCCCCAAATATGAACCTTGTTTAGATAGTTCCACTCTAAAATTAAAAGAGTGAATACCAAAATCCTTGTTTAATGATACATTAGATAACCTTTATTTTACTATATTTTGCTAAAGAAGAGTGACAGGCCCAGAATAACACTGTTTTCTGTTTTTCTGTTTTCAAAAGGCAAAAAAAATCTTACACTGAGAAAGAAAAAGTAGAGGATACACAAGAAAGGTCTCCTGATTTGTCTTTTTACAATGAATTAGAGATTGAACAAAGAAAAACCAATTAAATATGAATTTTTATTTTATAGAATAAACATGACAATTCAGATACCAATAAAGATTCCATAGATCAAAGCATTAATTATTTTCTATTTCAGCACCAAAAATAAATTTTCTAAAACACTACCAATACCATATGAAAGTATAAGATAAATTTGAAAATGACATAAATTGATATATAGGTATCAGCGAACATAAACTGATCTAATTGCACTGGGAAAAATTGCAAAAATAATTCCACACATGAGAATTAGAAGGTAGAGCTACAGCTAAAAGAATTATGAAATGTCAAAACAGTAGAGAACCATGGGTTGAAACAGAATCATACTCAGAATATCGAATTAGTATCTTAAGAAGATTCAATATCCTAAGAGGGGAAAAAAAAAAAGTCAAGAAAATTCAAGGAAGCTATTAATCTTGGTTGGTCTGTATGCTTTTCCCTATTTACCCCTAAAACAAAAACAAGGAACTCAAGAGATCTCTGTTTAAACATGGCCTCTATACTATCTTCTATAGCACTGCCGAATTTTTCATACATTGAACTACTGATATCTCCTAACACAGTCCAACTTACCGCCAATGCAGACGAATAAAAGCTGAAGATATTCTGCCGAAATTCTTTCAGGGCTTTTTTAAATACAACATCCACTAGTGTGTCTTTCTTGCTGTCTTCATTTTCTAGGTCATTCATCTGGCAGCAACAGAAATAGTTTTTGTATACAGTCAACTAATTGAAAAGAGGTGAATGCAACAATGGACACATACTTTTTTTTCAGCAATGACTGTCCTAAAATTGCAAGCCACTGCTATGATTTCTGAGTGCCTTCTACTGTTGTATGACTCAATAGTTCTGCTACAAGACAAACATTCCCAAAGTGAGCAATGGCAAGTCTCACCTTTATTTATGGAATACAATATGACAGTTACAGTAAAATCGAAGTCAACATGAAAGCCTAAATCTTAAGTCCCATCTACCTACCCATCTAACTACGCACATCCTATTATCTGCACCTTTTTAGTAAAGAACAGGCCTTCTAACTTACTGCAATATGTACAACCATGATCTCTAGAGGGGCATATCCTCATATACACAAGTATTTTATAAGTCAAAGTGGGCCTAACTTAGCATGCAAAGTATACCTTTTTCAGAAGAAATTCATCCATGCTTTTTAAATCACTGGCGCTTGCTATGATCTGGACAGAATCATTCTGCCAGTACAGAGATTCCAAAGCCACACTGCTGATCTTCACGCTTCTCTTACGCTTTGCCTTCGGAGAAGGCTCTTTGTTCTCTTTGAACTCCTTTCGGCAACTACCAGGTAATTCTGGGCTCAAAGGAGGTGTTGAGTGATACTGAGCTATTTCTACAATTCAAGACAGAACATTAAAAAAAAAATTTAGTAATAATATTGAAATCTCCATATCCTTTTTTTAATAAGACACTGAAGGAACATATGAAAATTTCTGAAAAGCAAAGTAACATTGATGTTTGAGCTCAGGCAATTGGATAATAAATCCAGATTGCACTTTTCAATGGGAAATGCTATCATGTATCCAAGTGTGATACTGAAGACCAAAATCCTTGTCTAATGATATATTAGTTAACCTTTATTTTACTATATATCTTGTAAAACTGAAGACTAGATCCCAAAGACCTCAGTCCCAACAAAGAAAAAAAAAAATGCTGTTAACTCAGTCATTGCTTTACTGTATCTGTTTGAAAGAACAGTTATATACAAGTCCCCAAAAAAGTGAAATTAGATAATTATTATTTCTTTATTTGGGTTTAAAGCCATAAATACTTCAGTGTTTTATCTGGTGTTAGCCTGGCAACCTGTTAAGCAGCCAGGTAACTCAACTGGCTCACTTCTACTTAGGTCTCTAGTATTTAGGATTTCCTTATACATCTCCCAAATAACTGTCTGAATTAGCTTTGTATATAATATTAGAAAGCACAGCAAATTTTCTCTTGTGATTGTTTACCAAAGAAGTTGGATTCCATGTAAGTCCCTTTAATCTAGAACTACACTGGGTTTGCCAAAGCCCTATGTAGGACTTTGTTGCGCCACATGTATTCATTCAATTTATCATCTGTCCAAAGGTATGTCCTCATTTCATCTAATGGCCAATTCTGATAATCAAGAGAAAAAGTAGCCTCCTATATGCTAAACGCCATTTCAGGCAGAAAATGAGACAAACCCAATCTCTAATATGAGACCAGAATAAAAATTTCGAAGACACAGGATACAAGTATATTCAAATTGGTTTCAACTGATTTTAATTCCATTATATAACCTAGATATATAAGTATTTCATTTAGCAAAGTCAATCTTTCTTATAATAAATAAGTTACTAAATAAACTGTCCATAATTCCATTTTAGCATTAAAAACAGGGGCTACCTTGATAGATTTCTAACCAAAGATAAAGTTACAATCTAATTTTTATAAACATATCCTTATAAAGCAAACACACAATGAAGTATGCTAATAATATATGCTTCAATTACAGAGCTTTACACCTCCTTGCTGGGAATTAGCAACGAAGAATACAACTGTGAAAAATGAAAAATTTAGAATGACTACTGTAAAACAGATACACGTAATTGATCTTCTTAGTAATATAATAGTAAGGATCTCCAAGTTTTCCAAGCTGAACTTACAGTATTCCTTAACTTGTTATTGGTATTATCCATATCAGTTTGCCAACTGAAAGGAGCAAAACCACAAGACACAAAAACAGGGCTCTAACTACATGTCTATCATTTTTAGCTCTGACACAGGTATCTCTGCTCTGACTCATCCATTCCTATGTGAAGCCTGATGAGCTTTCCTCCTTGTCTCTTTATCTTATCCTAGATAACAGTTTTGTTTGCTTATTGTAACTGGGTCTGTTTTAACTTTACTTAAGAAATAATAAGTTTCCTCCACTTTCTATTTTATTCAATAATGGTATGTCTGTCACTCACTCATTACCACATACCCACCTCTTATGTATATAGCTGTTGAAAATACAGTAAAAATCTTTACATAGTAATTAACAATTCTCATTCATGCCTGAGCAAAGGGCTTGGAAAAAATGGGGTAAACTAATACTGGGATTATTAGAATCCTTGGAAATTAGTAATTCTGATATTTAGAAGGCAAATTTTCTCAACAGATGAACTAACTGCTGGGTACTTACAAATGTGCTATGACTGATGCCCCAAAAGTTAAAACAGCTACCATCATAAAGTCCCAGGTACTGACAGTAGGTACTTAATACATAGCATAGTGGTTAAGAAATGTGGACTCTGGAGCTAGATTGCCCGGATTCAAATCTCAGCTCTGCCAATTACTTGTTTGTGTATAACCAAGTAACTTCCCTGCACCTCAGTTTTCTCATCTATAAATTGAGAATAAAAATCATACCATTCTTAAAAAACTGTTGTGAAAATCAGCTGAATCAATACATACAATGTGCTTAGTACAGTGCCTTGCATGTAGTAGGCATCAAATATTAGCAGCTGTTACTACTTTTTATGAATACATTTTGTTAAGTGAATAAGTAAAGGCCACATTTTTACACTTTAGGAAACCTGAGACTAACCAAAGGTCCACAATCATTCCTGAAGTTGTTGCTACACCATTTTGTACCACATTCCTTGAAACTTCTCTTACAGACACAAAATCATTTTATTAATAATATCTTTTAGTTAAGGAAGGACTTAGCATCCTCATCCTATCTCATTAGACTATCTAGACAAGAAGATTGTCATTAAATATAGTAGAAGAATAGCAAACTTTCAGAAAGAGTAAACGGAAATGATGAAGACAATCTCCACCCTTTATCCATTTTTACCATCTGGAAATGGATGAGCTGGAATCCTATCTGAGCCGGCAAAGAATGCTGAGCTCTCTGACTGCGCAGCAGGTTTCACTCTGGTGGTCTTCTTCTCCCCTTGTTTCCCTTTGGTCCAGAATCTCATCCTTGCTCTCTGAGGTCTGTTTTTTTAAAATAAAAGTAAAAATGGAAATCAGCATATTCCAGTGACAATAGTCGTACATCACTTTAAGCTTTCGTGTGTATTCCTCAATTTAACTTTCACACCTAAGTTTAACCATACTGAATCTTCATTTTCACATTTAAACTTCAACTGGAAGGTAGTTTCCTCATTTTTAATACAAAATTACATTTTGGCCCAGAGACGTTAAATAATTCTCTAAAATAAAATAGCTACAAAGCAGTGGAACTAGGATGCCAACTCAGGTTTTCTGATTCCTGAACTGGTATCTTTTCATCTTGCCCTCCTCCCAGCTTGTATTTAGTATATAGACAATAACAAAGAAAATACATTTAAAGAAATGACTAATATCCCATCACTCTAAAATACACTGATTACTTCCTAAAATTTCTTTCCCATCTCTATCCATAAGAATACCCATTTTTACATCACTGTAATCATGATGTAGATACAATTTTAAATCTTTACATTTACCATTATACAATAAAGGTTTTGATGCTGTTATTTTATATTCATGAGTTATCAATGTTTTGTAAACATTAGTTAACACTTTCAAGGATACACAGCCAGTGAGTGACAAGGTCAAGAATCTCACCTTTTATGGTATACTGTCTCATTCTTAGTGCTATATACCCTCTCCCATCATATAAATCAAGGGAATCCTTAAGATAATAACATCAGCTTACATTTACTGACCATAAATCAAATCCTAACACTGCACTATGAGATTTATTTGTTCCTCTGTATGTTTATTCAGGAAAAAAAAAAATTAAGCATCTACCAGAAGCCAGACACAATGTCGCACATACAATATGCCTAACATTCACAACTATCAAGATAAATAGGTATTATTTTCCATACTTCACAAAACATAACCAAATGAGGCTCAAAGAGCAGATGGAGCTGCAATGTCATATCTATCTGGTTTTGAAGCCCATGTTCTTTTTCTCTTTGTTCTTTTTTATTTAAATAAACATATTACTAAATTTAAACATCCATATAGTATAAAGAGAAATAGTTCTACAAGGATTATTACAAATGACAGCATATTTGTCATTCTAAGTTCCTCTTCTGCTCTCTAGAGATAACCCTCTGAATCAACTTAATTTATTCCTTTACTATTTAACATACTTAATACTGCTATTATATTAGTGCCCATAGATAATGATTAAGCATGTTCCACTACTCCTGTTCTACACCCTCCACAAACACAACTGTGCCCCAATAAAATAATATCGTAATTTCAGTTAGACCAATATACAGCATTTTCTTTTAGTAATATTCACTATTTCTATTATGTAAGTCATATACACAACTAAGGCATATAGTTCCCTGCATAATCTATGTTTTTCTAGAGTTAATGAGTGTTTTGTTTTACATTTGCTCACTTTTCTACATACATTGTATATCCAAGCATTTCCCTATTTGTGTGTGTCTCCTCTCAACAGGCACAAACACAGTAGGAGCTCCAACAGTTTCATATTATTGAAGAAATCTCTCCCCAGGGCCTTCTTACCTGCCCCAGTATGGCGTGGTTTTTATTCAGTCTGTGCTATGCAATTATCATTTGAAGAAGTCCTTCATCATCATAATGGAGATTCCTTTTATCTCTATTTTACATCGGCATATCTTTTGGTATGGGTCTATTTTCAGCCATTGCTTTGGGCACTCAGTAGGCCCTTTCCAACTAGAAGCTCATGTTCTTCAATTCTGTGAAATTTATTTTAATTACTTTATTAATAATTTTCTTCTCTACACTTCGTTGTTTGTTTCTAGAGCTCCTACCAGTAGGCCACTGGATCACCTAAACTGTTCCTCTAATTTAATCTTTTCTTGTCTCTTCCATTTCTCTTTTTAATCAACTTTCTGAGATATGTTCTCAATTTTCAGATTCTTCTGACTTGTTTCTTTATGCAAATTTTTAATTTTCAAAAGCTCTGTTTATTATGAATGTTTCACCTTTATACACTGTTTCCACGGATGCAGTTATATTTACTTACACAGGAGGTTTTCTGATAGTTGTATTTGTCTATCTTCAAATTTTCATTCCACTACACAGCTTATTTCTTCCAAGTTGTATTATATCCTTTAGTTTAAGTCTCTTTCATTATTAGAAATGAGTGGTGGTCAAAAGTAGGGCTTTTTAAAAAAAGTGCTGTTTGGAAGCTCTAGTGTACATTGATGGGGATTCCAAACTGTTGTTTTCTTTCTTTTTTTTTTATTAAAGTATCATTGATATACAATCTTAAAATGGTTTCACATAAACAACACAGTAGTTAAAACATTCACCCATACTATCAAGTTCTCACCCCCTCTGTTGCAGTCACTGTCTATCAAAGTAGTAAGATGTTACAGAATCACTAGTTGTCTTCTCCATGCCGTACTGCCTCCCCGTGACCTACCTGTATTGTGATTGCGAATTATACTGCCATTTAGTACCATTCTCCCTCCCTAATTCCTCCCCTTTGGTAACCACTAGACTCTTCTCGGTGTCTGATTCTACTGCTATTTTGTTCATTCCATTTCTTTGTTTTTATACTCCAGATGTAAGTGGGATCATTTGGTATTTGTCTTTTTTTGCCTGGCTTATTTCACTGAGCATAAAACCCTCTAGTTCCATACATGTTGTTGCAAATGGGAGGATTTCTGTGCTTTTTATAGCTGAATAATATTCCACTGTGTATATGTACCACATCAGTATCCATTCATCCATTGATGGACACTTGGGTTGATTCCATATACTGGCTATTGCAAATAGTGCTGTGATAAACATAGGGGTGCATATGTCTTTTTGAATCAGGAATCTTGCTTTCCTCAGGTAAATTCTTAGGAGTGGAATTCCTGAGTCAAATGGTATTTCTATTTTTAGTTTTTTGAGGAACCTCCATTATTGCTTTCCACAACAACTGAACCAACGTAAATTCCCAACAACAGTGTAAAGGGTTCCCCTTTCTCCACTTCCTTGCATTTGTTGTTTCTTCTCTTTTGGATATTGGAAATCCTAACTGGTGTGAGATGATATCTCATTGTGATTTTAATTTGCATTTCCCTGATGATTAGCAATGAGGAACATTTTTTTTATGTGCCTGTTGGTCATCTGTATTTCTTCTTTGGAGAAGTGGTTGCTCAGACTCTCTGACCATTTTTTAATCAGATTATTTTCTGGATGTTGAGATGTATGAGTTCTTTATATATTCTAGATGATAACCCCTTGTCAGATAAATTGTTACAAACATATTCTCCAATACTATAGGATGCCTTTTTGATCTGCTTGATGATGTCCTTTGCTGTACAGAAGTTTTTAGATTTATGTAGTCCCATTTGTTCATTTTTTACTTTGTATCCCTTGTCCGAGGAGATGTGTTCAGGAAAAAGTTGCTCAGATTTATATTCTGAAGGTTTTTGCCTATGTTTTCTTCTAAGAGTTTTACAGTTTCATGACTTACGTTTAGGTCTTTGATCAGCTTTGAGTTTACTTTTGTGTACAGAGTTAGACAATAATAGAGTTTCATTCTCTTACATGTAGTTGTCCAGTTTTCCCAACACTAGTTGTTGAAGGGGCTATCTTTTCCCCAGTGTATATTCATGGCTCCCTTATCATATATTAACTGACCATACATGTGTGGATTTATATCTGGGCTCTCTATTCTGTTCCACTTAATTTATGGGTCTGTTCTCATGCCAGTATCAAATTGTTTTTATTATTGTGGCTTTGCAGAAGAGCTTGAAGTTGGGAAGCATAAGTCCCTCAGCTTTGTTCTTCTTTCTCAGGCTTTCTTGGCTATTCAGGGTCTTTTGTCATTCCATGTGAATTTTAGAACTATTTGTTCTAGTTTATTGAAGAATGCTATTGGTATTTTAATAGGGATTGAATTGAATCTGTAGACTGCTGTAAGCAGGATGGCCATTTTAACAATTTTAATTCTTCCTATCCATGAGCAAGGGATAGACTTCCATTTATTGGTGTCCTCTTTAATTTCTCTCATGACTGTCTGTGGTTTTTTTGATGCAATTATAAATGGAGTTCCTTTACTGATTTCTCTTTCTGATAATTCATTGTTAATATATAGGAATGCAACAGAGTTCTGTGTATTAATTTTGTATCCTGCAACTGTGCTGAATAAAGTTATTAGTACTAATAGTTTTTTTGGTGGAGCCCTTAGGGTTAAGAATTTTCTGTTTCTTCCTGGGTCAGTCTTGGAAGGTTGTACTCTTCCAGAGTGGTTGTCCATTTCTTCTAAGTTGCCAATTTGTTAGCATATAATTTTTCATAGTATTCTCTCATAATTCTTTGTATTTCTGTGGTGTCTGTAGGGATTTTTCCTTTCTCATTTCTGATTGTTTATATGGGTATACTCTCCTTCTTTCTTGATAAGTCTGGCTAGAGGTTTATCTATTTTGATTACTTTGGGTTGATCTACTTTGATTCCCAAAGAACCAGCTCTTGCTTTCATTGATTCTATTGTTTTATTTTTCTCAATGTTATTTATTTTTGCTGTGATCTTTATTATGTCCCTCCTTCTATTGACTTTGGGCCTCATTTGTTCTTCTTTCTCCAGTTTCTTAATTGTGAGTTTAGACTGTTCATTTGGGATTGTTCTTATTTCTTGAGGTAATCCTGTATTGCTATGTACTTTCCTCTTAGAACTGCCTTTGCTGCATCCCAAAGGTTTTGGGCTGTTGAGTTGTTGTTTTCATTTGTCTCCATATATTGCCTGATTTCTGTTTTTATTTGGTCATTGATCCACTGATTATTTAGGAGCATGCTGTTAAGCCTCCATATTTCTAGTTTCATACCTTTGTGGTCTGAGAAGCTGGTTGGTACAATTTCAATCTTTTGGATGTATTGAGGCTCTTTTTATGGACTACTGTGTTGTCTATTCTGGGAAATGCCCCATGTACATGTGAGAATATGTACCCTGCTGCTTTTGGGTGGAATGTTTTGTACATATCTGTTAGGTCCATCTGGTCTAATATATTGCTCAGTGCCTCTGTTTCCTTACTATTTTCTGTCTGGCAGATCTGTCTATTGGTGTGAGTGGTATGATAAAGTCTCCTAAAATGAATGTATTGCATTCTCCTCCCCCCTTTAATTCTGTTAGTATTTTTTTCACATATTTAGGTGTTCCTATATTGGGTGCATAGATATTTATAATGGTTATATCCTCTTGATGGACTGAGCTCTTTATTATTATGTAAGGCCCTTCTTTGTTTCTTGTTACTTTCTTTGTTTTGAAATTTATTTAGTCTGATATAAGTACTGCCACTCCTGCTTTTTTCTCCCTATTATCTGCGTGAAATATCTTTTTCCATCCCTTCACTTTTAGTCTATGTATGTCTTTGGGTTTGAAATGAGTCTCATGTAGGCACCATATAGATAGGTCTTGTTTTCCTATCCATTCTGCCACTCTATGTCTTTTGATTGGTGCATTCGGTACATTTACATTTAAGGTGATTATCGATAGCTATGTACTTATTGCCATCATAGTCTTTAAATTTGTAATAATCAAAGGTTCAAGGATAACTTCCTTACTATCTAACAGTCTATCTTCAGTCACTGATTACTCTATTTCAAGCACAGCCTGAAGTTACTTTTTTCCCTCTCCTTCTTCCTCATCATCTACACTTTATGTATTAGGCGTCATATTCTGCACTCTTTCTGTACCCTTTGACTAACCTTGTGAGTAGCTGATTTAATTTCATATTTGCATATTAATTAATTGTTCCACTACCTTTACTGTGGGTTTATTTTCTCTGGCGACAGCTATTTAGCCTTAGAAGCACTTCCATCTAGAACAGTCCTTCTAACAGATCCTGTAGGAATGGTTTAGTGGTGGTGAATGCCCTCAACTTTTGCTTATCTGGAAACCATTTAATCCCTGCTTCAAATTTAAATGATAATCTTGCCAGGTAAAGTATTCTTGGTTGAAGGCCCTTCTGTTTCATTACATTATATACATCACGCCACTCTCTTCGGCCTTGTAAGGTTACTGCTGAAAAGTCTGCTGATAGCCCTATGGGCTTTCCTTTTATACTGATCTTTATTCTCTCTCTGGCTGCTTTCCATACTCTCTTTGTCCTTGATCTTTGCCATTTTAATTATGTCTTGGTGTTGTCTTCCTAGGGTTCCTTTTGTTGTGGGATCTTCGTACTTCCATGACCTGAGTGTCTTTTCCTTCCTCAGACTGGGGAAGTTTTCAACAGTTATTCCTCAGACACTTCCTATCCCTTTTCTCTCTCTTCTTCTGGTACCCCTATAATGCAAATATTGTTGTTTGGTTTGGTCACACAGCTCTTATTATTCTTTTATTTCTAGAGCTCCTTTTTTCTCTCTGTTCCTCAGTTTGTTGTCCTGTTCTCTGATTTATATTTCATTTACCTTCTCCTCTACATCATCTAATCTACTTTTAAATGCCTCCATTGTATGTTTCATTTCAGATACTGTATTTTTCAACTGAGTGGCTCTTTTTCAGGACTTCTATTTGTTGAAGTCCTCCCTGAGACCTTGAATACTTTTTTGTAAATCTGTGAATATGTTTATGACTTTTACTTTGAAATCTTTATCAAGAAGATTGGTTATTTCAGTTTCACTAAACCCTCTTCCTGGTGTGGTTTTTTTTGCAATTTTGTTTGGACCAAATTCTTCTGCCTCTTCATTTTTTTGTTTGTTTGTTTCCTATGGAGTAATAGCTTGGTGTAGGAGGCACCCTCTAGTGCCAAGAAGTTCAATTTCCTATGCAGGAGCACCAGCTGTTGGCACGCAGTGGGTGTGACACCTTTCCTTCTTGTACTGATCTGACTTCAAGGGGGCTGTGTTGGCCATCAGTTGATCACACAAGCAGGGAGAATACTCAGGGCTGCACTGCTGAACCTACCAGTGGGAGGAGCTGCTCTCCCTCTGACCAACCACAATGGTGGGAGTGACTGGTGCACAGGACCAGCACCTGCCAGGAAGAAAGAGCTCAGCTGGGAGGGTTTCCTGCCTACTTGGCTGTAATGCTTGCCTTCACTTCCAGGTCAAGTGGGTTGTGTACAGACAGAACCTCGGTGCTGAGCCACTGGAGTGGCCTACCACAAGGGCGGGGGCACTAGGTGAGCATGACTCGTGTCAGCCAGGAGGAAGGAGCGGCTGGCTGAGCACGACAGAGATAAGCCTCTGGGCCCCATTGCTAGCCAGGGATATTTAGCATATGAAGCTCCTGAGGTGAGTGGGCCAGGCAGGTGTTGTCTACCTGCCCTTTCTCCTGAGCAGAGAGTTCAGTGTAATCTTTGCCCCTCTAGAGCCCCTCTCACTGCTGGAAGTCCTTCAAACTGCCTATTTTTCTTTTGTCTCAGGTAGTGCATACCTGTTCTTCACAAGTGGCTGGAATCTCACCCTCTCCAAGTGTTCTTCCTGTCATTGCTTTCCAGCCCCACTAATCTCCAGAGCACCATGTAATATGGGTTCATCATTCCAGAACAGATCTCCAGGGGCAGGTGTTCAGTAGTCCTGGGCTTCTACTCCCTCCCTGCTCCACTTCTCTTCTGTCCACCTTCGGGCAGGGGTGGAGGGAGGGCTTGGGCCCTGCCAGATTGTGGCTTTGCCACCTTACCCTTTTCTGTGAGGTCTTTTCTTCCCCAGATGTAGAAAGTCTGTTCTGCAGTCTTCAGGTCATTTTCAGGTTTAGCTGTATTTGCTGTATTTTCATGTTTTACGTGATTTTGGAAGAAGTTTCCTGCTTTGCTTCTTACACTGCCATCTTTTTTCCCAGAATCAGTTGTTGTTTCTTTGTAGGGTTACCTGGCTGGTCGGTTTTACGAGGAGAGCCCCTGATACCAATATCTTTAAGTCTTTCTCCTTGGGGGTTGGACAAAAGTCAAAGACTTTTTGGACCATCTACTCAGCAGGTATGTGAAATGTGGAAGCTGAGCAGAGGAAAAAAGCTGGGGGAATCTTAACATTCAGTAATGTTAATATTCATTAAATCTTCTGTTCTAAATGGAAGTCCTCAACTTGTAACCTCAAGTGTAAAGATCTTCTATTTCATCTTTTCCAGATAATAAATCTGTTTTCTTCTAGGACTGGGGAAATCAATCAAATGTTTCTTTCTCAACTCTAACTGTCTGGTTTAGAATTTAGCTTTCTCCTATCTATTAAGATATTTTAATTTTGCATATGCATATTTACTTTTTGTATTCCTTTGTTTTATTATTGTTGTCTCCTATTCTTTTGCTGTTCCTACTGTTTTTTTTATCCTATATAGGTTTTGTCATTTTAGCAGTTTTGGAGAAGGAAGTGGAAATTAAATTTATATATTAAATCTGCTATCTCCAGCTGCCACTATGGTTAATTCATGTATCCAAAAACTTGATTTCCAGTATAATCTGCTCTGTATTTGGGTGACCTTGCATTATTTCTCTACAGTCATTGAGGAAGCGGTCCTTAATTTAGAGTTATAAACCAGATAAATTTCAGCATGATCTTCAAGTGTACAGTGAGGGCCCAATTCCAATTACATTATATAACACAACAAGGGACAAAGATATTTACTTGACAAATAAAAATTCCATATACCCTCTTAAAAACAAAAACAGAATTATTTTCTGAAAGTCTTTTATAGTTCCATTTGTAAAACACTTAGCTCAGACAGCATCCAAATTCAAAGCTGGAAAATATTTTCAATCCTAACTGATCTAATTTCTTGTTTCATGACAAAACAAAATCACAAGTCATGTAATGATTTAAAGACTTTGCCCAAAATCACACTGCTAAATATATAGAAAGATATAGTTCATTATATATATATCTGAACTATTATGTGCCTATCACACAATACATACTTAATACTTGTTGAAAAATAGATAAATTTCAAAACCAGCTGCCCTATCAATTATGCTTTTAAAAAGAGGCTCAGTATTTAATTATGGTCAATTAGTAAATAAGATTTTATTACTCCTATTAACTCTCAGTGTATAATTTATACCTTATATCTGAATCTGAAGCCTTCTGTCTCACTGCCAACTTTGTAATTTCTCCTTGAGACATAGTCTTATGAAGCTTTGCTTCTTCATCAACTGAAGAAAATCGTTGTGATGTCTGTAATAATTACATATATGAAAGACATTAAAACCAAGCAACTATATTGTACCACTGTGATTAAAATTCAGGTTGTGGAATTATTTGAGAATTAAACCTATTAGAAATACACAAAAATATATTCATATTATTCAGTGATTCACTGAAACAAAAAACCTATTAAAAAAACTCTATTAACTTCTTACAGTAATCTGAAGAAAAAAGAACTTGAGGCAATGAAAATACTGAATAGGACCTATAAGATCATGTTTCCTGATGATTTCATAAAGAATATTAAGTGGAAAGAAAGGTAAGAAAAAAGTCAAAACCATCTGTAGATACAGACAATAGACCTAGTATCTGATAAATCTAGGATGCTAAGTATTGTCTTTCATTTCTTCCTACAAGGTGATAGTTTTATTNTCACTGAAACAAAAAACCTATTAAAAAAATGATTAACTTCTTACAGTAATCTGAAGAAAAAAGAACTTGAGGCAATGAAAATACTGAATAGGACCTATAAGATCATGTTTCCTGATGATTTCATAAAGAATATTAAGTGGAAAGAAAGGTAAGAAAAAAGTCAAAACCATCTGTAGATACAGACAATAGACCTAGTATCTGATAAATCTAGGATGCTAAGTATTGTCTTTCATTTCTTCCTACAAGGTGATAGTTTTATTTGACCTTTCATTTGTCCCTATAAGGTGATAATTATTTTTATGGCTTAACTTGCTATTATCAGTTATTCTATCCAGAAAAGGATTTAAAAGACCTAGAAAAAAGGAAGCTAAGACAAATTAAAGGACCAAAAAACGAGACAGTTATCACCACAGTCTAACTTAAAATAACGAACTTACACATCTGTCAAACTAGAACCTGAATTTCATACAGTAATTCATGTTCCATTTGTTTATGTGCCCCTTTAAAGACAATCCAGTTCAGAGAAGAGAATTTCTTGTTACTTACCTAAATCACATCCTAATATATCATTTCTCTATACCTCTAATTTTTTTTAAGTCTTCTGGTCTGGTTGGATATGGCCTTATTAACAGAAATAGAAAATCCCTCAAGTTGTTAAAATTTAAAGACAAAGCTTCTTCTTCTGGCCAAGATGGAAAAACAGGGACCTGTTTTATCCTCTTGCTTGAAAACAACCAAAATCAAAACCAAACAAAATAAAAAATCCAGACAAAAACATATGAAAGGGCAGTTATCAAATTGATAGACAGTTATCCCTGAGAGATGGGAAACAAAGGAAGTGAGTCCTACCATCTGTCCCAGCTAGGGCCTTGAGATAGTTTCAAGGCTGTGAGAGAGTGGGGGGAATCGAGGTGAACCTCTGCAGACTAAGTTGAACAGATGAAAGTAAAAGTCCAAGAGACCCACCTGACTAGAGACTAAAAGACGAGTACTAAAGAGGATAGAAATGCACAAAGAAAATAACGCTGGAGATCTTGAAAGGGTCTGCACTGAATATTTAGCTGAGTAGTAATGAACATTTCTGTGTTAGACAACACCCAAAACCAGGAAAAGGACAATCTGAAATTATTAAAGATAATACTTGAAGGATGGCGGTGTGAGAGGTGAGACAGAGGCCTCCTCCTAAAACCGCACATAATACGAAAATATAATTAATACAACTAATCCTGAAAGAGCAACAGGAAAAAGGACTGCGCCAGACTGCATACACGTGAAGAAAAGAATAGACCTCACGGAACAGGGTAACGTACCAAAGCTGTGGCCTGGCAGAAAACAAGCCCTTCCTCCACCACAGCTTAACAGCAGGAGGAAGAGAAACAGAGCGGGGAGGGAGTAGAGGCCTAGGACTGCTGAACACTCAAGCCCTGGAGATCTGCTCTGGGAGCATGAACCTACAATGCACGGCACACTGGAGAATAATGGGGTTGGAAAGCTGAGACAGGCAGAATACCTGGAGCGAATGAGATTCTAGCCACTGGTGGAAAACAGGGATCCATATCCGACTACTCAGGAACAAAAGAAAAGGCAGGCAGTCTGAGAGACTTCCTAACAGCGAGAGAGCTGCTAAAGGGGCGAGGATTGCACAGAGCTTACTGCTCAGGGGAAAGGGCAGGTAAACAAAATTTTCCGGGTGCACTTTGCCCATCAGGTTGGGAACTTTGACAATCTTCAGGCGCTCCAGCCAAGGCCCGACTGCATGATATGCAGCCTGCTGCGCCTTCCTCCCAGCCAGACCGCACCAGGCTCATAAACCGGCAAACCCTGCCCTGGTGTTAGGCAAGCCAGAGGGAAGCCCCGCCTACAGCAGCTAAAAATGCAAAGCATAGAGGCTTATACCTGTGTGCTCGGCCCACTGGTTCTGGCAGTGGAGACAGGCATAGCAGCCAGGAAGCAGGAAACAGCTCTTTCCTCCCCCCAGGCACCAACACTGATACCCTGAGACCCCCAACATTCCTTCAGGGGATGAGCAGCTCCAGAGAATAGAGCTTCTGTGCACTAGAGGGTGCCACATACAAATATGAAACGTCAAAGGAACCTGGTTCAAAGCAAAATCATAAATACACTATAGGAAGAGTCAAATGGAAATGACCTTGTGCATCTTTCTGAACGAGATTTCAAAATAAAAATCATAAACATGCTCATGGAGGTACAGAAAAATATTCAAGAACTCAGGAATGAATTCTGGTTGGAGATCCAATCATTATGGAACACAATATCAGAAATGAAACATAGAATGTAAGTTTTAAAAAGCAGATTAGATATGGTGGAGGAGACAGTAAATGAGATAGAAATTAGAGAACAGGAATAAAAGAGGCTGAGGCACAGAGAGAAAAAAGGATCTCTAAGAATGAAAGAATATTGAGAGAACTGTGACCAATCCAACTGGAACAATATTTATATTACAGAGGTACCAGAAGAAGAAGAAAGAGAGAAAGGGATAGAAAGTGTCTTTGAGGAGGTAACTGCTGAAAACTTCCACAATCTGGGGAAGAAGATAGTCTTTCAGGCCATGGCGGAGGCACAGATCTCCCAACACAAGGGACCCAAGTAAGAAAACACCAAGACATATAATTAAAAGGGTAAAGATCAAGGATAAGGACAGACTATTAAAAGCAGCCAGAGAGAGAAATAAGATCACATACAAAGAAAACCCATCAGGCTATCATCAGACTTCTCAGCAGAAAACATACAGTCCAAAAGGGAGTGGCATGATGTATTTAATGCAATGAAAGAAAAGGGCCACGAACCAAGAATATTTTATCTGGCAAGATTATCATTTAAATTTGAAGGAGGGATTAAACAATTTCCAGATAAACAAAAGCTGAGAGACTTTACCTCCCACAAACCATCGGTACAGTGTATTTTGGTGGGATTGCTATAGATGGAAGTGTTCCTATGGTTTAATAGCTGTCACCAGGGGTAATAAAACCACTGTAAAGAAAGTAGAACAATTAATTACAAAGAAAATTCAAAATTAAACCAACTACCCCAAAAGTCAATCAAGGGATAGAAAAAGAGCACAGAATATGATACGTAATATATAAAGAATGGAGGAGGAAGAAAAAGGAGGAGAAAAAAAGAACCTTTAGATTGTGTTTGTAATAGCACAGTAAGTGAGTTAAGTTAGACTCTTAGATAGTAAGGAAGTTAACCTTACACCTTTGGTAACCAAGAATCTAAAGCCTGCAATGGCAATAAGTACATACCTATCAATAATCACCCTAAATGTAAATGGTCTGAATGCACCAACCAAAAGATACAGAGTCAATGAATGGATAAAAAACAAGACCCATGTGTATGCTGCCTACAAGAGATTCACTTCAAACCCGAAGACATACACAGACTAAAAGTGAAAGAATGGAAAAAAGATATTTCATGCAAATAATAGGGAGAAAAATGAAGGAGTTGCAGTACTTGTATCAGACAAAAGAGGCATCAAAACAAAGAAAGTCACAAGACACAAAGAAGGACATTACATAATGATAAAGGGGTCAATCCACCAAGAAGATATAACTATTATAAATATCTATGCACCCAACACAGGAGCACCTACATATGTGAAACAAATACTAACTGAATTAAAAGGGGAAATAGAATGCAATGCATTCATTCTAGGAGACTTCAACACTCTACTCACTCCAAAGGACAGATCAACCAGACAAAACATAAGCAAGGAGACAGAGCCTCTGAACAACACATTAGAACAGATGGACTTAACAAGCATCTACAGAACTCTACACCAAACAGCATAATACACATTCTTCTCAAGTGCACATGGAACATTTTCAAGAACAGATCATATACTAGACCACAAAAAGAGCCTCACTAAATTCAAAAACATTGAAATTGTACCAACCAGCTTCTCAGAGCACAAAGGTATGAAACTAGAAATAAATTCCACAAAGAAAATGAAAAATTCCACAAACACATGGAGGCTTCACAACATGCTCCTAAATAATCTGTGGATCAATGACCAAAGAAAAACAGATATCAAGCAATATATGGAGGCAAATGACAACAATAATTCAAAACTGCAAAATTTGTGGGATGCAGCGAAGGCTGTGCTAAGAGGAAAGCATATTGCAGTAAAGGCCTACCTCAGAAAAGAAGAATAATCCCATATGAACAGTCTAAACTCACAATTAACAAAACTAGAAAAAGAACAAATTAGGTCCAAAGTCAGTGGAAGGAGGGACATAACAAAGATTAGAGCAGAACTAAATAAAACCATGATGAATAAAACAATAGAAAGAATCAATGAAAGCAAGAGCTGGTTCTTCGAGAAAATAAACAAAACAGATAAACCCCTAGTACAGACTTTTTAAGAAAAACATAGAGTCTGCACACATAAACAGAATCAGAAATGAGAAAGGAAAAATCACTACTGACACCACAGAAATACAAAGAATTATGAGAGAATACTATGAAAAATTATATACTAACAAACTGGATAACCTAGAACAAATGAAATACTTCCTAGAAAAATACAACCTTCCAAGGCTGACACAGAAAGAAACAGAAAATCTGAATAGACCAAT